TTTACCCTTTTGTTCATTCATTAATTTATTCTTGAACTGGCCTTTGTGATCCTGTTTACCCAGCTCTAAAATGGTTGTGAAGACTACTAAAAATGTATGTAAGTTACTTTCATAAGTTAGAAACTGAAACATTAAAATTATGTAAAAATATGGTATTCTAATAACTTATAATTGAATCTGGAATTTAGTACTCTCTTCTGCCTTTAGACCTACTGTAGATAATACAGACCTTTGCTGTTCCTTCCACTTGTAGCAGAATTCAAAGCTTTTCACAGGAATAGTTTTTTCTGCCTGATATTATGTGGCAATGTTGAACTTCAGTGCCACTCTCAGTTGTCTTTTGGTGTTTGCTCTTACATAAACTGGCTGCCCTCTAGCTTGATACCTAGTATGTGTTAGGAACTCAGTAAAAGTTTGGTTGTGATGGGAGTTCATGTTGATAAAATATTTTTTGGAGGGTAGTCAGGCAGTGTCTGAACTCTAAGTTTGTATGTCTTTTATTTCAGAAATTCTACTTCTAGGAATTTAGATATAGTTGGGTGTAGTATAAGATATTTACATGCCAGTACTTTTTTTTTAAGTTAAATTAAAAAATACCCTGGAAGATATCTAAAGGTTCATCAATATTGGATTCTTTACATAAATTGTGATATTTTAAATTAAATTACTTATAATCAATCAAATGTTCTATAGACATTAAAAACCTAGAAAGGGCCGGGCACGGTGACTCAAGCCTGTTATCCCAGCACTTTGGGAGATTGAGGCGAGAGGATTGCCTGAGCCCAGGATTTCACGACCAACCTGGGCAACTTGGTGAGACCTCATCTCTACAATATATCAAAAAATTAGCCGGACATGGTAGTGCATACCTGTAGTTCCAGTTACTTGGAAGGCTGAGGCAGAAGAATCACTGGAGCCCAGCAAGTCAATGCTGGGGTAGCCGTGAGTGTGCTATTGCACTCTAGCCTGGGTGACAGAGTGAGACTCTGACTCAAAACAACAACAACAAAAACAACCTATGAAGGATAAATTGACTGGAAATACAGTGTTGATATATAGTAGGATATGTACTGTATGCTGCTTTTGTATAGAAGTAGAACAGAACATATACATATATGTGACAGTAAATATTTATATATACTATACAAAATGTGACTGTAAGGGTTTGGAAATATATGGAAGGACACACAAGGAACTAGGGACAGTAAGGTTAACTTTTCATTATGTGTATTTTGAAGAGTGCATAGCTATACGTGATCTCATTGACCTGTGCTACCAACCCCCTGTAGCAGGAGGGGCTATAGCCTCCAGAGTCCTGTTTACAAACCTAGTCTCTCAGTAAGTAGCGTTGGTGATGCCATCCTGCCTGTGGGGCACATGTGCAGTGGCGAGGGGTCTGGGCACTGCGTGGGTTGCTGCCAGAGTTTTTCTGGTTTGGGTGGTTTCCTGGTATTTAGTGTGCCAGAATGGCCCTTTTGCCTGCCTTGTCATTGGTAGCATCTTGGGCCTCACATGAGCCAACAGCATGATGCTCGCAGTGACTGGGGCCAGGCATGAGACTTTTCCAGGTGCTCCTCAGCCAAGAAGAAGGATGGAAACCGAGTCCCTGAACAGTAATCTGACTCATCTCCTGGACAAGGCCCTCCTAGCCCATTGCTTCTGGGTCTGGGCTTTGTATCCTGTGGTCTGTACCTCTGACTGTTGCAGCGCACACCTGACCTGGCAACCCCTTACTTAGAGGCATTGACCTTTGCTGCTTCACCTGCAGTAGTTGAAAGGGCCAATATCTGCGATGTCTTGTGATTGCTCCTTATTCTTTTAAAAGCAAGGTTCTGGTCATTGCTCTCAGGTAAAATATTTGTGGGACTGATAGTGTTGGGGATACTTCTTTCTTAACACAATGGACCCCTGCCCTCCAGTTCTTTGTTACGTTGCACAGAAAATGTGAGTAACAGTTGAGTGAAAGAACCTACTAGTACCGTCCTGAGATCTTACATGGAAAGTTGGTGTGTGTTGTTTCCAGAAATCATAGAGAGCAAACATACTGTTTTGCTTCTTAACAGGTTTGAGAGATCTTCTTTACTCAATGATGTGATTAATTTTGAGACTTTGCTCATATGGCAGTGAACTGTTTTTATTCCTTGAGACCTACTTCTCCTCCCATCTCATACTTCATTAATTCCCCTTCATTTTATATCCTGAGTGTCTTTTGAATCTGTCATCTGTGCATCAGCACTGTGATACGTTTTGTTTGACTTATTATAGTTGAATACTAACTAGTGTAACTAGTATCTTATATCTGCTGTTTATTTCCTTCCAATCCATTCTTCACAACAGGAAATCTTTTAAAAGGCCGTTATTAAAAATTGAAATGAATCTGTAGTTGGAATATTACTTATAAGCATTGCTCAAAAACAAACTCATTATCATGGCATTTTTTCATAGGGCTCTGCATGTCTGGGATCCTCTGCTTCTCCAGCCCCATATATTGCCACTCTTGTCCTTACTCTTGTTGCTTCATCTATATGGAATTAATCCTAGTTAATTCTGACTCATCATATTTTTCATTTTGATTCCTGGCATTATTAACTGAAGTTCACAGACCCTTTTCTATCAGGTTTTGTCTTAAAGTATGAACCATAAGTTCCCTACAGATTGAATTTGATGGCATCAGTTGTATCAGGCTAAAATTAAGATTGTGCAGTGAAATAATTACACTTAAATTATTTCAGTGAACATATATGTATTAATGTGTTGGGAGCTGGCCATGGAGGCCCACCTGAATGTTAGGGATCAAGGTGGGCTGTGGACCCCGAGACCACTAGGATGTGTTCGGGAACTGTTGACCACATTCCCTTCTCCCCTTTTCATTTTAGCTAAAAAGATCCCTGCCTACCTAAGCTGAAGGAAGGCTCTGTGACTGTGACAGGCATGGCTCACTCTAGAAACTCATTGTTCCTGTTTCCCATGAACTGTGGTTTCGGCTTAGGTATTAGATATAATTCAAACTCAGGTGACATTTGGGAGCCTTCTATACAGTACAAGCTTCTTTATAAGATTTAAAAGTATAATTGTAGAATTAGTTTATACATATGGAGCTGTAGAATTAGTTTATACATATGGAGCTTTTCAGCTTTAGATGGTGTAGATGATTATCTAGAGTTACCAGAAATGGCCCAGCACGAACTCTGGGCTGGGCCACATTTCTAAGGGCCCAGTGTGTACTTTGGACTGGGCTGCTTTCTTTTAAACTGGTTTTTAGCTACAGTTAGTGTAGGGTTTTTTCCTACTTATTATAGAAATTGAGTTTATTTTACTCATAGAAAGTATTATAGAATAGGTTATGCCACGTCAGTGAATTATGTTAGTTCAAGCATGATCAAACATGATATTTTGAGGTTTAATAAGAATACAGCTAACTTTAGAAATTTAATTGTTCCCATTTTCTACTATTGTGGTTTTAGCCTTAGTACAACTTACAGTTTATATTTGGGTGTTATTTTTAGAAGCTTTATTGCTGATGATCAGCTTTATATATTAGAGTTAGGAATTAGAAACTTTTATAGAAGATAAAATAGATATATAGGATTTTAGAACAGGCTTTTTGTTAAGGGATTGTAATCAATTGTTCCTAGAAATGGCCCAGCGAGATCTTTTGACTGGGCCACATTCTTCAGGAACTGGGTTGGGCTATAATTAAGAGTTTCTATAGTGTAGGTAGAATTAGCATAAAATAGAAAGGAATTAAGATTTAAGTTAGTCATTAGGTGTTGTGTATGCATAAGTTTTGTTTTTTTGTTTTTTTTTTTGAGTTGGAGTCTCACTCTGTCACCCAGACTGGAGTGCAATGGCTGTTCCCAGCCACCGCA